AATTCCGGATATGGAAAATCTGGCCCTGCGCAAAAAAAAAAAAAATTGCCCCCTAAAAAAAGTAATTCAAAAAAATCTGAAAAAAAAAATGTTGTTCATATGAATGATACGAACAACGTTTTGCTTGAGGCCATCTTTGACATCTCTACAGATATACATATAAAAAATAAAACAGAAGAATAAAATAATATTTAGATAAAAAATTATACAATGAATTAAACATCCCCCCTCTAAACCCCTTTATTCTCTATCTTACCCCCTTTGAACCCTTCAATGCCCTATCAAGCTTTTCATGAAATAAGAATGTAGTTCTATTGTATTTTGCATGCGCAATATCTTTTTTTTTTTTGTCTGTTTTTTAATCATCCGGATTTTCGGATGATCCTACCCCCCGATCATCCGGCCAGATAATCTGAACAAATTATCCGGCCAGATAACCCATGTTACTTAGTTTATAAATATGAAGGATTTTTTTTTTATGGAATGTTTTTTCAACTTTCATTTCTCGTGGGAATTTTTTTTATTGACCATCGCCTTGCTTCCTCTATCCTTTCAGCGTTTAGTTTGGTTTCCTGCAGGAATGTGATATGCACGTCCTGCTAGTGTATCCATGATGACAAACTAATCTTCTTTTCTCTATTCCATGTATCACCCAGGCTACGGACATTCCAACTTGTGAGACGAATCCTATTGGGCAGTACCATCTCAATGGTTTGTACCGCTTGGGTGTTGGATGCGGGTAGCTGACAGCAAGTCTGTAGAGCCTAACACCGTGGTGTAGACTTTGGACTGGAGTTGTCGCAGGAAGCTTTTTGAGAGTAGGACACCCTGCAACTCTGCTAGTGCAAACCAATCCACCAGTTGTTGGGCATTTAGGGTGGAGCCTATTCGGATTTTCGCTAAGGACTCCGCATTGGCGGTCAGCAACGAGGATAGGGAGTACTAATGGGCCTTTAAGTCTGCCCATTGGTCCTTTGAGCCTTGGATTGATTCTAACCCCAAAAACACGATGTGCAACACAATCTTTCCATTTTCTGCCCTTTCCACCATGTGGCGCCCATTCTTTGGCTCATTTAGTACTGACAATACACCCATTCCTTTCAAGATCATCGACTGGGTAAAGTCTATAATTTGCTGCTCTGTAGGTTGTGCCTGTACTTGGTACGTCGGAATTTCCAATACTTCGTCTAATGTCAGACACATCAACAACCTTGTTCCCTCTTGGGTGGCTGCACATATAACAGGGGTGAAGAGCACTACCAACTTATTTGCTCTATCCTTTCGAGCCATCGTTTTCATCGGGGCCGCAAAACTCAATCCCACACTCTGTTTGATTGCACGGTCTGCCAATAAACGTTTTCCCTTTCCTTCAGACCCTTGGCCCTCCTCACGGGAGAGGGACTTGCCGTCCAATACCGGGGAGGACGGGGTAAGGGATGCTGAGGCACCATTTAATTTTAGCTTTTTAGCGGGAACCAGTTCTGTAGGAGCTGATGATATCCCATGAGGGATTGCCAATCTTTTTCCTTTATTTTTTGCCCCTTTCTTTTGCATCTATGGTACGCCCTGTTGATCCCCCTTCCTCGCATTGAACTTTTTACTACGCTTATCCATTAGGGCAGCAGGGGGTGCCTCCGTCATCACCAATTATTCTCCCAAGGGGGGCGGATCTCCAGTTTCTGACTTCGGAGCTGGATGATCCTCTCGACCTTGGGGAGAGGGGGGGTAGGGATTTGACTTATGCGGAGAAAAGCCCAAGTTCGCCTTCTCTACCTTGTCTGCAAAATTCTCAACTAGAGGTTGGTCCTCTACCTTTTCCTCCCTCCGACCCTTCCCTTGCTCGTCCACCTCCATTTGAGCGCCCTTTTCCCCCTGGTCATTTTCCCCCCTTTTCTCCTCCTCCCTGGGATTTTCCTTTTCAATATCCACCAAGGGGGGGAGGGGGGTCGCTTTTTTACTTTCCTCCTCCTTAGCGGTCGAGCCTCCCTTCTCTTCTCCTTTACCATTCACCGCTTCCGCTTGCGCTTTGCCCTTCATCCTCCATTTTGTTTTCAGATTTTTCCTTTGTGTCTTCTGCTTCTCCTTCTCTTCTTCATGTGTCTTCTTTTCCTTTACCTCCGCTCTCTCCTTCTCCCCCTCCTTTCTCCCGCTTTTCTCCTCCTCCCCTTTTTCTTTCCCTTTCAGGACTGCTTCCTGATAACCCCCTTTACGGGGGTCTCCATATTTCTTTCCGGCGTTAATTGGGCATTTCAGATCTGAGTCATCATGGAAGTAGTGTCTACATTTTTTACACCACAGCGAATATGCGCAGGCCACTTCCATTTCCACGTACCCATCATTGCCCAACTCTACTATCATCAGTTGCTTATACGCTAAACGTGTTGAAGGCACCAAGTCAAACCTGATAGTCCATAGGTTTGGGGCAACGGGTTCTTGAAAAGCTGATGAAGAAGAGAAAATTTTACCAAAAGCTTTCTGGATTGCTCCCTTAACATGAGGAAGAACAGAGATAGGGACTTGTAGAACTTTTACCAAAAAATACTTATATTTGAGGGATTCGTTCCACTCGAATATTTCCTGTTCTGTCATCCACGGTTTAAAAGTAACCGTGTATGTTTTCTTGTCCAGTTCTATTTTGTCCTGACCTTTTCGCAGCATAAAACTAATGATAGCTGACGCACTAGCCACATATGTGACAAAATTTTTACCTTCATTTCTGAAGATTCCCCGTTTAGGCGCCACGTTCAGCTCCTTGACTTTGCCCACCCGTCTTCGTACATTCGGACCAGCCTATTTTTAACTCCTACGGACAAGGATGTGGAATCGTCCCTGAAGTGGATTGATACTGCGTGTTTTTTCCACCAGTCCGTTTGGACTTCGTAGACCTCTTTGTTGACCACCACTCGGACATAGTCCGGCCCTGTCTCAACTATCCTTGGTACATATTCATCTGGCAGGATCCCGTTTGAATAACAATCGTCCAGAATATCCCACACTTTCCTTTCTTCCGCTGCTGTTAGCGGGGCCGGGGGCGACGAACTTGAAGCCGCCATTCCCCCTCTCGTCAAAAGGATCAACAATAAAATAAATGACAACCAACACCCTGCCAAACTTGTTACTCTACTCATATACGAAGACAGAAAAAAAAAAACCTCACCAAATTCGAACACGGATAATTAACGCCCCTCCCTACTTTACTTTTGTAAACGTAAGCATACGGGTGGGTACGAAACCATAACCAATCGCCAAGAAGAGAAAATCACTTACGCTAAAAGGTTTCAACAACGAAGAGGGTGGCATCATTCCTATTTCTGGAAACCCCTTTCGACCACCAGAAAGACGAGCACTCAAGGGTTCCTTTAATCCATAGTAACACTTTCCCCCTGGGCTTCTGGGTTCGGAGGTGAGGCTGGAGAGGCAGGTTTGGAGGGCACCTTCGGGTTGTAAACCCTACCTCCCTGCTTCCTCTTACTCCAGGCCTAAACCTCTCCCCCTAGTTTAGAGTTACACAACTGGGTACGTTACCGAAGTGTCACCTCTCCTTTCTTGTCGTGAAAGCCTCCCGTGTTGGTCGTCCCATAATTGCTCCTGGAAAAATGCCTTCGTGCCGAGTTCCTCAGCTATATGCCGTACAACCCCCCTCTTTGTCCTTGCTAGACCAGTAAGGTCCCCCTGCTAACCATAATCTCGATTAGCGCTAGTGCTGCGCCGTAGCGCAGCATTACCGCGCGGCGCACGGAGATAAGCGCTACCCGTCATTCAATTTTGCTGTTTCTTGCCCTACAGGAAGCCGGCTGCGTCGTTAGCGCTGCCCGGAAAGGATCAGGCAGGCGGAGCGGAGTACGAGCTGCGTGCGACCGGGGGCCAAGTCCCACGTTACCCGAATTCCCAATTTCTGAACGAGATTAGGAAGATCAACGGCCAGAAATGAAGAATCAGCGTAAGTGGGACTCGGCCCCGGGCGTGCGGAAGTGCTCTTTGTGTGTGTGTGTGTGTGTCGTCATAGGGTCTCGCCGCATGGCACACGAAACGAGAACGAAACGAGCGCATCTGCCCACGAAAGGTGGCAAAATACACTCATTACTATTTATAGCAAACAAATGAACCTGGCTATTTTGTGTCTGAAGATGCACTCGTTTCGTTTTTCGTTTCGTGTCCCGTGCGGCGACGCCCATATTCGCTATACACTAATCACTGTGGGCCTCGTCGCAAGGCGCACGAAACGAAAACGAAACGAGTGCATCTGCCCACGGACGCTGGCAACATACACTCGTTTCTATTTATAGCAAACCGATGAACCTGGCCATTTCTCTGCGGGAAGATGCACTCGTTTCGTTTTTCGTTTGGTGTGCCGTGCGGCGACGCCCTGTACCAGACTTTCGTTGGCCTTTCGTGTGTGTGTGTGTGTGTGTGTGTGTGAAGATGTGGAGAGTGCAGAGTCACTCCCTCCCTCGGCCCCAAACGAAAATAGGTGAGTTCGCGCGGCGTGGCCATGTGCACCCTCCCTCCCTCCCTCAGTGGTGCTGTGCGTGAAGAGGTGGAGACGTCCATTCACATTCGGCCCAAAAACGAAATAGGTGGGTTCGCCCGGCGTGGCGAAGTGCACCCTCTCTCTCTCTCTCTCTCTCTCTCTCTCTCTCTCTCTCTCTCTCTCTCTCTCTCCACCCTCCTCCCTACACCCCTCCTCCCTCCTCCCTCCATCCATCCTTCCATTCGCGTAGGGCTGCAACTCCATTTTTTGTTGGGGTGCTGTTGCAAGTGGGGCAAAGGGCAAGTGTTGTGCACGGCCGCTACCGGAAGCAGTAGCCCCTCCTCCCTACACCCCTCTTCCCTCCTCCCTCCTCCGTCCTCCCTCCTCCCTCCATCCATCCTTCCATTCGCCTTGGATCACCCCTCTTCCCTCCTCCCTCCTCCCTCCTCCCTACAATGGTCAGGCAGGGAGGAGAATATCTCCATCGAAGCCTTTGAGGGCTGGAGTCGCAGGAGAAGGACGAATGGGACTTGGTCTGCTTCCTCTGTCGCCACCAAGCCTTGAGGGTGAGGATGCGGGATCAGGAGGATGAGAGGGTCGGCATTTGGTCGGTCAGGATGGGATGTGGCGACAGAGGAAGCAGAAGGAGGCCATAGGGTGAAGCATGCTACCATCTTCCCCCGAAGAAAACAGACGGTCATTTTGCCTGTACTTGGCACAACTTTCAGTCCAGATGCACACAGAAAATGACAGCACGTTCTATTCGGCTGAAGACGGTAGGTAAGTTTGCTGGCGTTCAGCACGTCGTGGAGGGGGGAGGGTGTTGGTGAGGGGGCGCAATTTGCCAAGAAGGGGGTGGGCAGCGCGGATTGGGAGGGAGGGCGATCAGGATGTGGGATTGAGAGGAGGAGGGAAAAAAAAAAGGGAAAAAAAAGGACGATAGGGACAGATGACGTGTAGGAGAAAGAAGGCCAAGACAACAGGGTATAAAGGAAGGCAGGTCGTGTAGGGGGGGGATCCGTACAAGGTGGGGGAGAAGAGATTGTAAGGAAGGAAGAGGGGGCTCAGCGCACGGAGGGAGGGAAACAGGTTGTGTAAGGAAACGAGAGAGCAGGGTAATGGCGAAGGGCCTAAATGTGGATGGATATGTGGGTGATGGAAGGAGAGCAACGACGAGAGAAAAGAGCCGCAGAGAGAGAGGAAGAGAGGAAAGGACATACCAGATCCGCAGGGGCCAAATCGAGTATTTGAGGAGTAGGAGCGTCGGAGGGGATCCCAACGGAGGAGAGAGAGGGGTGGAGAAAGACGGGAAGAGAGAGGTGGTAGGCACAGGACAAGCAGAGGAGTGGGGAGAAGTGGAGTGGTGGGGGCAAGATCGGGCGGAGGGATGGAGGGGACAGGCGGAAGGGAGAGAGGGGAAAAGGGAGAGAGGGGAAAAGGCGAGCCGGTAGAGAAGAGAGAGAAGGGAGGAAGGGGGGGAGGGGGCATGCCGGAGGGCATTTGACTGTCGGTAATGACCAGACGAACCTCTGGAGAGAGAGAGAGAGAGAGAGAGAGAGAGAGAGAGAGAGAGAGAGAGAGAGAGAGAGAGAGAGAGAGAGAGAGAGAGAGAGAGAGAGAGA